TCATATACCAGCTCCTGGTTTATATATCCCTTCCTAATGCTATGTAGTCAGAATAACTCAGTGCTTTCTTATATTGCCTATTATTCACTGTTCATATCTCCATTTATTACATTAACCTTTACCACATCTACATTTAAGACACGAGTGTACGAAATGTATGTTAAGAGTAAGTAATGGTGTGACGAGGCCCAGAACAGTCAAACATTGGCCGGGGCATAGCGGAGATGCCCCCTACCTGAATACTTATTATTACCAACTCTAATAAAGGGATGGTTCCCTAACAAGTGGCAAGGACCATTAACCCTCACCAAGTGGGATCCCAATTACACGTGTGGCCAGAGGCAGCGTGGTGCAGGCCCACCACACAGGATATACACCACACCCACTAGGGCTCTCTCACTTCTCATATGCTCTCACAATTTGACTTTTTGGTGTGAAATTGCATTGGAGTGTGAAAGCTTGTCTAGAGCAATTAAACACAAATTAATTATTTTCAACCGAAGAGATGCCAATTGTTTTCCTATGTTAAATATATATACTCCAGCGAGTCTGTGGTCACTCTGACGCCTCAACAGGTGATCAGCAAGTCTATGGTCGCTAGTCATACTATCACATCTTCAGAAGCTGGCGAGGCATAAAACAAACACTCCAAAAGTATAGCGGCTTACAACAAGATTAGTGCCAGTACTAACAGGAATAACCTGAGAGGAACGGTTAAAGGAACTCAATCTCACAACAGGAGAGAGAAGAGAAGAGAAGTCAAAGAGGGGATATGATCACAACATACGAGATATTGTGGAAATAGGCAAAGTAGTGAAAACAGACTTTGTAAGTATCTAGGACAAGAACACGGGTGGAAAGTGGAAACGTAAATGAGCGGAAGAAATGTTAGGAAATACTCGTGTCCTGTACGGGAGGCCAACAAGTGAAACACAGTGAAGGAGAAGCTGTGGAAGCCACCTCCATCCACAACTCTATGGCCAGACTAAACAAAGAATTCAGTCAAAATAGTTCAATTGTAACACAAGAGGACAATTAAGTAACCGGGGCATGTGGAGCTACACCTCACCTCCCCGTAGTCATTGTTAGGTCACCGTTAGGTAAGTATTACCACCACCCTCACTACCACCATCACCACTAACCACCACTCTCCACCACCACCCCCACCACCACCCTTCACCACCACTCTTCACCACCACCCACACCACCACCCTCTCCACCCCCACCACCACCACCCCCACCACCACCCTCACCACCACCCCCATTACCACCCCCACCACCACCACCCCCACCATCACCCCCACGACCACCACCACCACCATCCCCACCATCACCACCACCCACCACGTGTACACTTTTTCCAGCAGCACACTAATTGGCAACAGATGACTTTGAGTACCTCATTTGTCAGGAAGCATTAGAGGAATGTTGTGTTTGTGTCCGTCTGAATCTGGTGGCATTCTCGGTATAGCGATCCTTGATGCCTCCATCCCGCCCCCCGTAACCCCCCCCACACTCATGTCTCCATCCCGCCCCCCGTAACCCCCCCCCCCACACTCATGTCTCCATCCCGCCCCCATCCCTGATGCCCCCCCCCACTTTCATCCTGATATCTCCATTCCACCCCCCCCCTTCCTGAGGCCTCCTTCCCACCGTTCTCGATGCCTCCATCATATATATATATATATATATATATATATATATATATATATATATATATATATATATATATATATATATATATATATATATATATATATATATATATATATATATATATATATATATATATATTTATATATATATATATATATATATATATATATATATATATAATATATATATATATATATATATATATATATATATATATATATATATATATATATATATATATATATATATATATATATATATATATATATATATATATATATATATATATATATATATATATATATATATATATATATATAATATATATAATATATATATATATATATATATATATATATATATATATATATATATATATATATATATATATATATATATATATATATATATATATATATATATATATATATATATATATATATATATATATATATATATATATATATATATATATATATATATATATATATATATATATATATATATATATATATATATATATATATATATATATATATATATATATATATATATATATATATATATATATATATATATATATATATATATATATATATATATATATATATATATATATATATATATATATATATATATATATATATATATATATATATATATATATATATATATATATATATATATATATATATATATATATATATATATATATATATATATATATATATATATATATATATATATATATATATATATATATATATATATATATATATATATATATATATATATATATATATATATATATATATATATATATATATATATATATATATATATATATATATATATATATATATATATATATATATATATATATATATATATATATATATATATATATATATATATATATATATATATATATATATATATATATATATATATATATATATATATATATATATATATATATATATATTATATATATATATATATATATATATATATATATATATATATATGACAGTGTCAGACCACGAAGGAAAATTGAAACAGGAATTTCCTTAAGTACTTTCGTATATTAATACATCTTCAGAAGGAGTGGTCACTCCTTCTGAAGATGTATTACTCCTTCTAATGTATACTCCAGGATTGGTCTGACATATGTGGTATACAATGTTCTGAAAGATTCCTTACATAAGTTTCTAAAGGCCGTTCTTATGTTTGCCAACCTGGCATATGCCGCTGATGTTATCCTCTTGATATGAGCTTCAGGGGACAGGTCTGGCGTGATATCAACCCCCCAGGTCTTTCTCTCTCTCTGACTCCTGAAGTATTTCATCTCCCAAATGATACCTTGTATCTGGTCTCCTGCTTCCTACCCCTATCTTCATTACATTACATTTGCTTGGGTTAAACTCTAACAACCATTTGTTCGACCATTCCTGCAGCTTGTCCAGGTCTTCTTGAAGCCTCAGGCTGTCCTCCTCTGTCTTAATCCTTCTCATAATTTTGGCATCGTCAGCAAACATTGAGATGAATGAGTTTATACCCTCTGGGAGATCATTTACGTATATCAGAAAGAGGATAGGTCCGAGTACCGATTGTGTGAAAATTTCAAAGCAATCGGTGAAGAACTTTCAGAGATTAGCGCTTTTGAACAAACGAACATTTACGTTTTCATTTATATAGAAGATTATATAGAGTTGGAAATCTATATTGTTCACTTGTAGTTAAACTAAATTCCTGAGTGAGGAGAGAGGACTTGTTGTCGATAAGTCTGAACACCAAATTTTCTTAGGTGTTCCAATCTAGCAGACAGGTAAATTGCTAGTTCACAATAGGTTCCTTTACATTAGTGATGAAAGCTGATACCAGGTACATGGGTCATAAGTTGAGTAGGAAGAGGAAATTATCGTTTCGAGGACGAGTTGTAAAGTGGAAATTTTCCTGGAAGAGGAGAAAGTAAAATTGGGTGGTGAATTTTCTGAAAAATCTCCAAGAGGTTGTGTACTTCTTGATAATATTTCTTCGGGAAATTAGAGTTTTATAGTTTCATTGTGATGTATAGCCCGAACTACAGGATAACACTGTCCATAGGAGGATTTGTTTAACTAGCATGTGAAGATAAGCAATTTTTATACTTTGATAAGGAGAAAGATACTGGAAAAATAGGGAGCTGGACACTTAACCATTTCCTGGTAACACAGCAGCAAAAAAAACTAGATAACGACAAGCATATGATGGATGGTTGCTTTGAGAAAGATTGATCATAACTGATCTCTACTGAACTGTGTGATGTTGGAAATGCTTTCTTGGTTGGCCTGAGGATACAATTACAGTGATACCGTGATGAAGCCTCAGTATTAATGCTTCAAACTGTCTCAGAAACTGGTAACCGGTGTGTCCTTGCCAGGGCTGCTGTTAACTCGGTCTTCATACCCGCAACACCTCTCTCTCTACCAGGTTTTCTCCTTGTTTTGTTTTGTTCTTCTCGAGCAACACACACAAGATGAATCCCGGATTTTAAATTTCGTTCATTTATTATGCACCCCATACCTACAACAGTCCTTAAGTCGAGTAATTTATATCTGTGGTGGGCCAGTTGCATATTTATTAATCATACTCAACACACCCGTCCAATAGATGGCGGTTGTGGAAAGTTTACAGTTGCGTGCATGCACTGCCTACATGCACCAAACTTTTGAAATATTTAGCTAAGATTTCTGGTGCAACGGTCCTTGACACAAGGGTGTCATGTGAGGTGAACCAGTGATGTATTTACACAGGTCCTTGTAACTCACAGCCTGTGGCTTGTCTCACTTGTTTTATGTGTGTGAAAACAAGCCATGAACATCATGTTGTCGGGGCTGGCCGAGAGCTCTCGCCGGCCCCTGGCGGGGTACGTCACGCAGTATTGTGGGCAGGATGTGCTAGGAGGCTTCACCAACCTTCAAAATGTTGGGGTGGAAGCCTGGGCCGTGCGCCGCGATAATGACCCCGAGGTAATCTGATACACGACCCTGTCCTTCCTCCCGTCCCGCGCTTCATAGCACCCGTCCAACGCTTGCTACCTCGTCATCGCCTCCGTCCGCTTACTCTCACCTCCCCCCGCCCCCCCCCCAACCACTTCTACTGGACGGTAGAGCGACGGCCTCGCTTCATGCAGGTCGGCGTTCAATCTCCGATCATCCAAGTGGCTTTTTTCCCTTCCCCCCGTCCCATCCCAAATCCTTGTCCTGATCCCTTCCCAGTGCTATATAGTCGTAATGGCTTGGCGCTTTCTCCTGATAATCGCCCTCCCTCTCCCCCCCCTCCTTCCCTAACCTCTATATATGTTATTGTCCCCGGGATGGAGTGTGAGTCCCCGGGGTGGAGTGAGAGTCCCCGGGGTGGAGTGAGAGTCCCCGGGGCGGAGTGAGAGTCCCCGGGGTGGAGTATGAGTCCCCGGGGCGGAGCGAGAGTCCCCGGGGTGGAGTGAGAGTCCCCGGGCGGAGTGAGAGTCCCCGGGGTGGAGTATGAGTCCCCGGGGCGGAGCGAGAGTCCCCGGGGTGGAGTGAGAGTCCCCGGGGCGGAGTGAGAGTCCCCGGGCGGAGCGAGAGTCCCCGGGGTGGAGTGAGAGTCCCCGGGGTGGAGTGTGAGTCCCCGGGGTGGAGTGAGAGTCCCCGGGGTGGAGTGAGAGTCCCCGGGGTGGAGTGAGAGTCCCCGGGGCGGAGTGAGAGTCCCCGGGGTGGAGTGAGAGTCCCCGGGGTGGAGTGAGAGTCCCCGGGGCGGAGTGAGAGTCCCCGGGGTGGAGTGAGAGTCCCCGGGGCGGAGTGAGAGTCCCCGGGGTGGAGTGAGAGTCCCCGGGGTGGAGTGAGAGTCCCCGGGTGGAGTGAGAGTCCCCGGGGCGGAGTGAGAGTCCCCGGAGTGGAGTGAGAGTCCCCGGGGTGGAGTGAGAGTCCCCGGGGCGGAGTGAGAGTCCCCGGGCGGAGTGAGAGTCCCCGGGGTGGAGTGAGAGTCCCCGGGGCGGAGTGAGAGTCCCCGGGGCGGAGTGAGAGTCCCCGGGGTGGAGTGAGAGTCCCCGGGGCGGAGTGAGAGTCCCCAGGGTGGAGTGAGAGTCGCCGGGGTGGAGTGAGAGTCCCCGGGGTGGAGTGAGAGTCGCCGGGGTGGAGTGAGAGTCCCCGGGGTGGAGTGAGAGTCCCCGGGGCGAAGTGAGAGTCCCCGGGGCGGAGTGAGAGTCCCCGGGGCGGAGTGAGAGTCCCCGGGGCGGATTGAGAGTCCCCGGGGCGGAGAGTCCCCGGGGCGGAGAGTCCCCGGGGCGGAGTGAGAGTCCCCGGGGTGGAATGAGAGTCCCCGGGGTGGAATGAGAGTCCCCGGGGTGGAATGAGAGTCCCCGGGGTGGAGTGAGAGTCCCCGGGGCGGAGTGAGAGTTCCCGGAGTGGAGTGAGAGTTCCTGGGGCGGAGTGAGAGTCCCCGGGGTGGAGAGTCCCCGGGGTGGAGTGAGAGTCCCCGGGGTGGAGTGAGAGTCCCCGGGGTGGAGTGAGAGTCCCCGGGGTGGAGTGAGAGTCCCCGGGGTGGAGTGAGAGTCCCCGGGGCGGAGTGAGAGTCACCGGGGCAGAGTGAGAGTCCCCGGGGCGGAGTGAGAGTCCCCGGGGTGGAGTGAGAGTCCCCGGGGCGGAGTGAGAGTCACCGGGGCAGAGTGAGAGTCCCGGGGCGGAGTGAGAGTCCCCTGGGCTGTGTATGTGTCCCCAGGGTGGGGGGGAGGGAGGGGGAGGCACCAAGTGGTTTCTCGCGTGCTGGGAGAGGTGAGGGAAGGTGAGGGAGGCTTACCTGCTCCCCGCTCCCCTGACACTGCCTCCACCACTGCCCTCGCCTTGGTAACCCATCCTCTCTCAACACGTTGCTGGCACCACTGTCAACACGTTGCTGGCACCACTGTCAAACACCTGTCAAGATGTTGCTAGGATGACTGTCAAGATGTTGCTAGGATGACTGTCAAACATCTGTCAAGATGTTGCTAGGATGACTGTCAAGATGTTGCTAGGATGACTGTCAAGATGTTGCTAGGATGACTGTCAAACATCTGTCAAGATGTTGCTAGGATGACTGTCAAACATCTGTCAAGATGTTGCTAGGATGACTGTCAAACACTTGTCAAGATGTTGCTAGGATGACTGTCAAGATGTTGCTAGGATGACTGTCAAACACCTGTCAAGATGTTGCTAGGATGACTGTCAAACATCTGTCAAGATGTTGCTAGAATGACTGTCAAGATGTTGCTAGGAGCACTGTCAAACACCTGTCAAGATGCTGCTAGGATGCCTGTCAAGATGTTGCTAGGATGACTGTCAAGATGTTGCTAGGATGACTGTCAAACACCTGTCAAGATGTTGCTAGGATGACTGTCAAGATGTTGCTAGGATGACTGTCAAACACCTGTCAAGATGTTGCTAGGATCACTGTCAAACAGCTGTCAAGATGCTGCTAGGAGCACTGTCAAACAGCTGTCAAGATGTTGCTAGGAGCACTGTCAAACAGCTGTCAAGATGTTGCTAGGAGCACTGTCAAACACCTGTCAAGATGCTGCTAGGATGCCTGTCAAACACCTGTCAAGATGCTGCTAGGATGCCTGTCAAACACCTGTCAAGATGTTGCTAGGATGACTGTCAAGATGTTGCTAGGATGACTGTCAAACACCTGTCAAGATGTTGCTAGGATGACTGTCAAACACCTGTCAAGATGTTGCTAGTATGCCTGTCAAACAGCTGTCAAGATGTTGCTAGGAGCACTGTCAAACAGCTGTCAAGATGTTGCTAGGAGCACTGTCAAACAGCTGTCAAGATGTTGCTAGGAGCACTGTCAAACAGCTGTCAAGATGTTGCTAGGAGCACTGTCAAACAGCTGTCAAGATGTTGCTAGGAGCACTGTCAAACAGCTGTCAAGATGCTGCTAGGAGCACTGTCAATGCGGCGTCAGTGCGGAGCCTGGCAGTTTTTCTCCTAAGACGTTGAAGGATATTTAAGTGGTAATCCAGATGGCCGTAAATAAGACCATCATTATTTGCGCGGACATAATTACCAAGATGGCCGTCGGAACAGCTGTTAGCATAGTTATTGTTGATGATCATTACAGTGGGCATGAATGGCCAGTTATCAACACGGTTGTCGAGATAGTTATCAGGTGGGTGAAGATTTATGACTCAGAGATGCGCTCCGGGATCACTGTTGATAACCCGCTTGTCGAGGTGTTCTTAAACATGATATTACCCGGCTAAACTGTGCTTAAAGCCATCTAAACGGGGCCTCACCTCTCTAATGTACGCTACATGTTCCTTGAAACACGCTTATACTTACGGTCCCTGGGGACACGCTTATAGTTACCTACACCTTTACCTTCTACCACACTTCGCTTCATAATTTTGTATGTCGCTATCATGTCTCTTCGATTTAGTTTCTCTTTTTTGTCATGAAATTCAGTTCATTTAACGTTCGTTTTCTGCTGCTCAACGGGTCTTCTTATTCCCTCCTGAATGCTTGTTACCTAGCATGTTGTGTGTGTACTCACCTAGTTGTACTTACCTAGTTGTGCTTGCGGGGGTTGAGCTCTGGCTCTTTGTGGTCCCGCCTCTCAACCGTCAATCAACAAGTGTACAGATTCCTAAGCCTATTGGGCTCTACCCTATTGGGCTCTATCTGTGTGTGTGTGTGTGTGTGTGTGTGTGTGTGTGTGTGTGTGTGTGTGTGTGTGTGTGTGTGTGTGTGTGTGTGTGTGTGTGTATGTGTCTGCGTGCGCGTGTGTGCGTGTGTGTCTGCCTGTGCGTGTGACTGATAAATAGTTTGGTACGATGAAAGCGAGGTGATGGTGAGGATGTGTTAAGGGCAACAAGTACGCCGAAACATTTGCATAAGAAGCCCAGTAGGCGAGACTTGGTGGTGAACCGCACGCAAGAGCACGGGGACGCGCGCACCCTCACACACACACACAGTGAACCACACAACAACAACACACACCAAGAAGAGAACCACACAAACAGAACCCACATCAAAATAATACCAAAAAAGGCAGAAATAGAGAAAAAGACATCCAGAGGAAACATGCGGAAAGAGAGACAGGCGAGCAGAAAGGTAAATAGACCTAGTGAGAAAGGAAGAACGGTAGGGGAAACATTAAGACAAATAGGAGCTGTGATAAAGAGAGAGAGACAGACAGGAGGAGAGAATACTAGGGTCCCACAGCTCGCCCTAGACTGCAAGCCGTAAATTGTCCCTCTGCTGCCTTGTGATCATTTCTGCATCCATCATCTTGCTGGAACCCGCCTGCAACCACACCTTCACGAGTGTGTGTGTGTGTGTGTGTGTGTGTGTGTGTGTGTGTGTGTGTGTGTGTGTGTGTGTGTGTGTGTGTGTGTGTGTGTGTGTGTTTCAAGTGTCACTCATATGTCCCAAACGTCTTAACATATCACGACATAATGGTACTTTTGTCCAAATAGTTAGTACAGGTACTGACACTTCAAGAGGATGTGTTGGAATATTGGGAACGTCTCTGAACTTGTTTCTAAAGCTGTTTATGTTTCTTAACGACCATTCCAGGGGAGTATAATGCTCGTTTCTGATCTTTTCTTTCTACCATGCAGGATTTATTAGCCATACAGACCACCATTATCATACAGACCACCACTACCATACAGACCACCACTACCATACAGACCACCACTACCATACAGACCACCACTACCATACAGACTCACACTACCATACAGACCCACACTACCATACAGACCCACACTACCATACAGACCACCACTACCATACAGACTCACACTACCATACAGACTCACACTACCATACAGACCCACACTACCATACAGACTCCCACTACCATACAGACCCACACTACCATACAGACCCACACTACCATACAGACCACCACTACCATACAGACCACCACTACCATACAGACCCACACTACCATACAGACTCACACTACCATACAGACTCCCACTACCATACAGACCCACACTACCATACAGACTCACACTACCATACAGACTCCCACTACCATACAGACTCACACTACCATACAGACCCACACTACCATACAGACCACCACTACCATACAGACCACCACTACCATACAGACCCACACTACCATACAGACTCACACTACCATACAGACCACCACTACCATACAGACCACCACTACCATACAGACCACCACTACCATACAGACCACCACTACCATACAGACCCACCACTACCATACAGACTCACACTACCATACAGACTCCCACTACCATACAGACCACCACTACCATACAGACCACCACTACCATACAGACCCACCACTACCATACAGACTCACACTACCACACAGACTCACACTACCATACAGACCACCACTACCATACAGACCCACCACTACCATACAGACCCCCACTACCATACAGACCACCACTACCATACAGACCACCACTACCATACAGACCCCCACTACCATACAGACCCACACTACCATACAGACCACCACTACCATACAGACTCACACTACCATACAGACCCACACTACCATACAGACCACCACTACCATACAGACCCACACTACCATACAGACTCACACTACCATACAGACTCACACTACCATACAGACTCCCACTACCATACAGACCACCACTACCATACAGACCACCACTACCATACAGACCACCACTACCATACAGACCACCACTACCATACAGACCACCACTACCATACAGACCCACACTACCATACAGACCACCACTACCATACAGACCACCACTACCATACAGACTCACACTACCATACAGACCACCACTACCATACAGACCCCCACTACCATACAGACCACCACTACCATACAGACTCCCACTACCATACAGACCACCACTACCATACAGACCACCACTACCATACAGACCCCCACTACCATAGATATAAATCCACCTGCCATAGCAACAGGAAGACTGTCGAATCCAAACATAAATTTAGATAATTGGAAAAAACTAACAAATCCTGACAAGTGACAACGGGATATAACAGGTGTAAATATTGAAGGCAGCGGACAAAAGAGTTGAGACCCGGAGGAGCACTTGCTGTAAAAGTGTGGTAGCAGTGTCGGGCCGGGCGCCACAAGCCGCGCACTTCATACCTCTCTCAAGGTCGTCAGATATGATGCTGCTGCTGACCAGGTGCGACAGGTTCTCCTAAAGCCTTTAACTAATGCCGTGTTGGCCAGCCTTGGTTTGAATCCTGGTCTATCTACTGGTGTGTTCATAGAAGCTGTGCCTAACAACTTTCTATAAATTAGCATGTCTGTCTGTCCGAGGTTGGAGGCCAGACCGTAGGGGAGGCCTAAACTCAATTTTTAACGTTAATTGCTGTAGGGTACGTGTGCAACATGGTCGGGTCGGGGTTGCTGTAATGGAACGAGTATCTTGACACAGCGCCAGAGCCACCCTTCTCCCCTCCCTCTCCTGACTACTTTTGCAATTTATAATAATTTGACTATATTTTAAACTGTAATTTTGCTTCACTTTAGGTATTCTTTCAATAGTATAAAACATTTTGCAATGCTGTCTGCAAAATTTAAACAATTAAACTATGATACTCTGTAATTAGTTGACTTAGCTGGGGGGGGGGATAAGGGGGGGGGGGTGTGGCCACGCGGGCGGCCACACCAATGGTCTAAACAATCCATTATTAATCAATTTTA